TACGGATCTTATGAGTTTCGTGTTATGCCTTTCGGTTTAACGAACGCTCCAGCTGTCTTTATGGACTTGATGAATAGAGTATTCAGAGAATACTTAGATCAGTTTGTCATTGTTTTCATTGATGATATTCTGGTTTACTCTAAGTCGGAGAAGGACCATGCCAGACATTTACGCACAGTATTGCAGACACTTCGAGAACATCAGTTGTTTGCGAAGTTTGAGAAGTGTGAATTTTGGCAGAAAGAGGTCAAATTTCTGGGACATGTAGTGTCAGAAGAAGGGTTAGCAGTAGATCCAGCCAAGGTTGCGGCCGTTATGGAGTGGGGACGGCCTACCTCACCGACAGACATTCGCAGTTTTCTGGGATTGGCGGGGTATTATCGCCGGTTCATCCAGGGATTTTCCAAAATTGCGGGTCCACTTACTCATCTGACTAAGAAGAATGTACCATTTGTATGGGATGATTCTTGTCAGGCTGCTTTTGCTGAATTGAAGAGTAAGTTAACTTCTGCACCTGTCTTAGCCACACCTCAGAGTGGAATCGAGTATTTAGTATTTACCGACGCTTCTCTGAAGGGTTTGGGTTGTGTGTTGATGCAAGACGAGCGACCAGTTTCTTATGGGTCTAGGAAGCTTAAGCCTCATGAGCTTAATTACCCGACTCACGACCTAGAGCTCGCCGCAGTGGTTTTTGCCTTGCGTATTTGGAGACATTATCTTTTGGGGGAGACTTTTCGATTGTTTAGCGATCATAAGAGTCTACAGTATTTGTTCACACAGAGGGAACTGAATATGAGACAGCGCAGATGGTTGGAGTTCGTGAAAGACTATCATTTCTCTATTCAGTATCATCCAGGGAAGGCGAATGTTGTAGCAGACGCACTCAGCCGCCGACCCTATGTCAGCCTTTCAGCTTTGTTTACAACAGAGTGGGATGCTTTGAAGACTGTTGATGAGTTAGTAGACGCTTTTATGGCATGTGTGGTAGTAACTCCTTCTATCATTCATCAGGTCATTCAAGCGCAACTCTCAGATCAACAGTGTATTGATCGGGTTTCGGAGTTAGCCTCCGGAGATGTTCCTTTTTATTCTATAGGGACTGATGGAGGATTGAGGTACAAGGGACGTTTAATTGTGCCTTCAGCTGATAATTTGAGAAATGTTGTGATGAGAGAGACACACACTTCTCAGTTCTCTGTACATCCAGGGGGAGACAAGATGTATCAGGACATGAAACGCCAGTTTTGGTGGGCCGGCATGAAAAGAGATATAGCTATCTTTGTCTCTAAATGTAGCACCTGTCAGATGATTAAGATTGATCATCAGAGACCGCCAGGGTCGTTACAGCCACTTCCCATACCAGAGTGGAAATGGGAAAGTATTTCCATGGACTTTATAGAGGGATTACCTACTTCACAGCACAATCACAACTCTATTTGGGTCATTGTTGATAGATTGACCAAGTCCGCTCACTTTCTGCCTGTTCGTTCAAACTTTACGTCAGAACAGTATGCTAAGCTGTATATTGCAGAAATGGTGAAACTTCATGGTGTACCATTGTCCATCGTATCAGATAGAGATCCGAAGTTTGTATCAGGATTTTGGAGGAGCTTTCAGCAGGCTTTGGGTACAGAACTATATCTTAGCACTGCTTATCATCCTCAAACAGATGGACAGACTGAGCGAGTTAATCAGATTTTAGAAGACATGTTGCGGGCATGTGTTCTTGATTTTAAGGGCAATTGGGAGGAATATTTGCCGCTTTCAGAGTTTGCTTATAACAATAGTTATCAGAAAACTATTGGTATGGCACCATTTGAGGCTTTGTACGGCAGACCGTGTAGGTCTCCTGTCTGTTGGCTTGGAGTTGGTGAGAACAACTTTCTGGGTCCTGAATTTATTAAGGACACGTCAGAAAAGATCGCTATTATTAGCGATCGGATGCGTACAGCTCAAAGCAGACAGAAAAGTTATGCTAACCGTCGAACTCGTGCTTTGGAGTTTAAGGTTGGTGATCAGGTTTTGCTTAAGGTTTCTCCTATGAAGGGAGTAATGCGGTTTGGGTCAAAGGGTAAGTTATCGCCTCGTTTTGTGGGTCCTTTTATGATTACAGATCGGATTGGGGCAGTAGCTTATCGTCTGGCTCTACCAGATAATCTTCATAGGGTACATAATGTTTTTCATGTATCTATGCTGCGAAAATTTCTACGGGATGAAGATCGATACCAACACATTGATGTGGGTGAGATTGAGTTGCAACCCGATGCAACCTATTTGGAACAACCTTACTGTATTCTCGATCGTAGGAATCAGATACTGCGCACGAAGACTATTCCATTAGTACGTGTACAGTGGAGCCATCATAGTGCTACAGAGTCTACTTGGGAACGGGAAGATATTATCCGGGCCAAGTATCCAGAACTTTTTAAGACAGGTATGTAGTGAATTTCGGGGACGAAATTCCTTTATTAGGGGGGGAGAATGTAATACCCCGTAATTTTAAAGAATGTATTTAAATTAATTTTGTGTTAGGTTAATTAATTTTATTTATTTGTGCATACTACATTATTATATTATGTTCATTTAATTGTGCATGTAAAGTGATTGTGTATGTTAAAATAGTAAATTTATTTATGCATGTATTATTAATAATAATTTTATTTGTTGGTTATGCTTATATTAATCATTATTAGTTAATTAAAGTATTATATTTGTGTTATATAGTATTATGATGATATAATGTATTATTTTGTAATAATAATAATTATATTAGTTTAATAATAATTATATTAGTTTAATAATAATAATAATAATAATAATATAATAATAATAATAATTATTATAAAAGTTTATTAATAATAATATTAGTAATAATAATAATAATATTTATAATAATAATAATAGTATTAAACCAAAGTCATGATGAAATTAGAGATTAGGATAGGATTGCATCAATGGTTATGGTTGGAATTAAAGCCATATAGGTAGGAATATGAGAAATGGGTGAGAAGTTATTATAAATTAGATATTTGTAATATTTATATTATATATTTTGTCTATAAATTAACTAGCTTGCCTTAGAAAAAAAAATAAAGGGAGTTAGAAGCAAAGTATAAATTCTAGAGAGCTATTTTATAAGAGTGAAAGGAAAAGAGAAAGAGAAAGAAGCTTGGACCGGTGTAGGCAATTTTACCCGACTACGCGCAGACCGGCGGATTTATTTTAAATCCAAAAAGGCAAGTTATTATCTACTTTTCCCCTTTGAATTAATAAATTAATTGTTTAGCTTATTTTTATGCATAGAGCCAAGGTTTGGGGGTTAATAAATTATTAATTTTATTTTATTAAATTAATGGAATTTTAATTATATAGGATGGTATATATTTATTTAATGTCCTATGAAATTAATAATGGCTAAAAATAATTAAATAAGACTTTAGGGATTTTTCTAGAATTTTCTAGATTTTTCCGGGCATTTTCTGCAATTTCCGGCGACCTTCCGGCGAGTTTTCCGGTCGCCGGCAGTGGGGGAGACGACCGGAGTGATCCGGTGCGACGCGGCACACCATAGGAGGGTGTACGCGCGCATCCTGGCCATTAGTGGAGTCTGATTGATCCGGTGCATCGCGGTCCATGATACCGCGGTACACCCGGATCTGTGGGCGTTGGATGGAGGGAAGATAGGGTGAGATGATCCGGTGTGACGCGAGTACGGAATCCGGATGCAGCCAACCAACCAGGAAGTGACACGTCAGCAAGGCACCCTTAGTGCGCGCGTGGCAGCGCGTGCGCTCGCGTGGGAGCGCGTGGCTGATGCCAGACGCGCGTGGAGGCGCGTGGGAGAGTGGGGAAGGTTGGGCTGCGCGTGGGGAGGCTCTGGGAGGCGCGTGAGGGCGCGTGTGGGGTCCCTACAGCTGCTGGAAATTACCAGAATACCCCTAGGGCCTGTTTTGTAAATTCCAGAACCTTAAACTTGGATTTTTAGGTACTGTGTTGGTAATTACGGGTTTAACGGGCCACGAATGTATAATAGCTGATTTCCCGGGTAGGGAAAGGCGACACTTGACCACCTAGTGTGAGTCTAAGTGATCTCCGTCTATTCTGGTTGAGGTCATGTTATACATCGGATAGTTCCCGTAGGATGTATACAGATATAGTACTCATCCGATTCATAATGATTAATTTATTTGATTCTCTGATTTGGGTCATAGTAGAGAGGACTTGCTCGTGGGGTTGACCCACCATTGTTGTTATTTCAGGATACGGTCAGTATCCGTTTCAAGGCTGAGGTTAGCAGTGTGGGACCATCATCCGAACTCATCTACTCCTACGATCCAGTGCAGGGTAGAAGTTTTATGTAGTATTTCAGTTTCAGTTTTTATCTACTTTTGACGTTGAACTCTCAGGGTTATATTTAGGGATCCCTGACGTAGGATTTCCAAGTTGTAATGAAGTACTGTATCAAATAAAGGATGGATGGATGTTGTATTATTTAATGTTTCTTTCCTGTCTAAATTCTTTTATTTCCATCATTTTGTATTCCATGCTTGTATATTGCCAATTGTTTTTGATATCCCTCGTTTTTCGTGTATAAGCCTGATCAACTTATGCGTGGGAAATGTGGGGGTGTTACAAGAATTTAGTTTCCGGTAATCTATGCACACACGCCAACCAGTCGTGGTGCATTGTGGCACAAGTTCTCCTGCTGAATTTTTAATAACAGTGAGGTCAGACTTCTTTGGAATAACTTGAGTTGGACTTGCCCACTTGCTATCCGAGATTGGGTAGATGATTTCCACATCTAATAACTTGATTACCTCTTTCATGACAACCTCCTTCATGTTAGGATTCAACCGACGCTGCACCTCTCGGGAAGGCTTGGCGTTCTCCTCCAAAAGAATGCGGTGCATGCAAATAGAGGGGCCAATTCCTTTTAAATCAGCCACCGACCAACCAATAGTTTCTTTGTACTTTTGTAGCACTGCTAAAAGGTTGTTTTCTTAGTGTTCTGAAAGATCCGATGCAATGATGACCGGGAGAGTTTTGTTTACACCAAGAAATATATACTTGAGATTAACTGGGAGTGGCTTTAACTCAAGTTGAGGTAGAGATTTCAGTGAAGAGACATGAGGAGTGCTGGAAATTAATGGAAGAGGTTCTTTTGACACTTTCCAAGAAGGAAAGTCCGAGATTGCATTGGCTTCAAGCAAAGAATTGACTTCTCTAATAGATTGATCAATGTCGTAATTTTCGAAGTCAGAATGAGCCAAGCAAGTTTCAAGAGGATCTTGACTTAAAATAAATAGGAGAGATTCTTTAACCATTTCATCAATGATGTCAAGAGAGAAACACTCATATTCCCCTTGAGGATGTTGAGAAGCACTAAAAATGTTAAGCTTCACCTTCATATTTCCAAAAGAAATATCCATCACCCCGGTTCGGCAATTGATTGAAGCATTAGCCATAGCTAAGAAGGGCCGACTAAGGATCACAGGAATATGTTTTATTGGATTATGGACCAGTTCAGTATCTAGAACCACAAAGTCTACTTGGAAGTAAAAGTTATCCACCTTGATAAGTATAACTTTAATGATACTGCGAGGTTCCTTTACAGATCTATCCGCAAGTTGCAAGACAACTGAAGTGGATTTGAGTTCTCGTAAGCCAAGTTGCAGGTATACTGAGTAAGGAATCAGATTTACACTTGATCCTAAGTCAAGGAGGGCCTTTTCTATCTCGTTATCGCCAATGACAGACGAGATTGTCGGGGCACCTGGATCCTTAAACTTCAAAGGTGTATTATGCTAAATGATAGCACTTGCTTGCTCAGTCAACCTCACCTTTTTAGGAATATTAATCTTAGAAGTGCGTTTTTGAGTATACAAATCTTTAAGAAATTTTTCATAAGGTGGAATTTGCTTGATGGCATCAAGGAGAGGAATGTTAATCTTTATTTGCTTAAAGACTTCAAACATTTCTTGAATTTAATCGTTCTTTTTTCCAAAATGTGTGGACTCTATGAGGCGTTGAGGAAAAAGAGCCTTAGGCTGGTAAGATGTCTCAACATTTTGGATTGGCTGATTTGGATTTTCTGGACTAACTTTTAGATTTTTGGATGAAGAAATTGAATCCTTGGGAGCAATGGTTTCAAATTTTTCATCAACCTTATTGTCTTCAATTCTTCCACTTCGAAGTGTGGTGATTGCTCGAACTTACTCAAGATTTGATCCACTCGGAGGAGTGATTTCATCAATCATATATTGCCCTTTCAGGTTCACCACAGGTTGAGTTGGAAGTTTTTGTGTGTCCTTCTTGTGAAGCTGATTTATTGAATCAGCCAATTGTCCCAGTTGGGTTTCAATATTAGCTATTGATTGGGAATGAGTACTAACCAATTGTACAGTTGATTGCATACCACTAATGGCAGCCATTATCTACTTGTTGGAGTTTACTAGCTTATCCAATCGGGACTATTGAGAAGGAACATGATTCTAATTAGAAAAATTTGCATTATAGGAAGAAGGATGGTAGCTTGAAGAAGCTTGAAATGGCCGGTTTATGGACTAAGAATTAGATTGAGTTGATTGCCCATGACCTTGAAATGATGAATTTTATGAGGCTTGTTGCCTCCACGAAAAATTTGGCAGATCTCTCCAACCCGGATTGTATATATTGGAATAAGGATTATTTCCAGGGCGAGAGAACATGTCATTAACCTGTTCAGGCATACCTTCAGAAAATTGCTCTGGTGTGGGGCAATCTTCTACATTATTAAAAGTGTTTATGCAATGTGCACACATAACACTAGATGAAGAATTCTAAGAAGATGATAGATGAGGTGCCACAAGCTAAAAAACTTTGTGGGCTATGGCATCCACTTGAGAAGATTCTTCCCTAAAAGCCCGTGGTTGACACGAATTTAAGGGTTTAACCACATTAGATGTAGAAGTTCTACGAGAACTATGTAGCATAGAATTTTCACTTATGTTCTCAAGTAGAGTCCATGCATCATCTGGATTTTTGGACATAAACATGCGCCAACACGAAGAATCGATTAATTGTCTATGTGGTTCTATTAAACCATCATAGAAGGGTTGCACCAATTGCCACTTTGGAATTTGGTGGTGCGGACATTTCCTTAGAAAATCTTGAAGTCTCTCCCACGTCTCATAAAATATTTCCCCATCTATTTGGGAAAAGCTAAGAATGGAACTACGCATGTGGTTGGTCTTACTCACAGGATAGTACTTTTTAAGAAATTCTTGTTGTAATTGGACCCATGAAGTGATGGAATTTGCAACAAGAGAGTTCAACCAATATTTTGCTCTATCTTTCAAATAGAATGGGAAGAGAAGCATATGAAATGCATCTTGGGGGAAGTCCCTGATCTCGATGGTAGAGCAAATTTCCAAAAACTCATCAAGATGTTTATAAGGATCCTTATTATCAAACCCATGATATGTTGGAAGTATTTGAATTATGGTAGATTTAATCTCATAATGATGAGCCTCAACATCGAGCATGACAATGCATGATGGAGATGTATATGTAGAAGGTACAAAATGAACCCTAAGAGTCATTGGTGCTAAATTTTCATTTTCAGCATTAACATTTTCGAGATTATCATGTTCATTAGCCATTTTATTTACTTCAATTTCAAGTTCTCTTATAACTTAAGGATCTCTAAGGTTCCTTCTTTGTTACCTAAGAGTTCTTTCAAGTAAAGCAATATCAATTGGTTCCTCAAGATGGGGTAAAGACGATGATCTACGACCTACCATCAACTATCAAACACAACAATCACAACAACCATTCACCAATACATCCACATACATTGATCCCTTTCTCCTCAATTCAACAATAATGAAAACAGATTAAATTGGCCACAATAAGGACCTATGCTCTGAATAAAACAAGAAATTGCAATAGCCTCGATAAGGGCCAAACAAGGAATAAACTAGGAACTTCAAAAACTTACCCAAAGTCCTTAAGACTTCAAATTTCACAATTAAATCTCCTGGAAAGTCCTTACTCCCTAGTAACACAAAAACATCAAAAACATGAAAATATATATACAATCAAACAATAAAGCAATTTTTAAATTCTGATTACAAAGTCGTATGCAATCCCCGGCAACGGTGCCAAAAAGTTGATGCGCATAAATGTGTACCACTTAAAAATGCCACTTAAAACAAAAGCACATTCATCATTGCAGATTAATGATATAGTAGGGGATTGTCGAATTACAAGGATTGCTAGTTTATGGCAAACAGAATTATAAAATTACTTCCTAATTTGATAACAGAAATGATAGTTCCATTGGTTTGTCACTTAACCAATGAATTTAAATTTCATAAAACAGTAAATAATGTGATTAGAATCGATTGAACTTATAAAGAGAAGGCTAGGGAATTGACTTCACCTCAACCTCATAAATATGTTAAATTGCACTCAACTTGGGGATAGACAATTATATATATAAAATGATGTGTAGAAGCACAAAACTACCACAACACCGTCAAGAAGATCATACATTTCAGGACTAAGCATAACCCATCTTTGGTTAGCATGGTTCATCCACCTAAACTAGGTTGCGGTATGAACCATCTTCCCTAGGTATGGCCTATCAAGGTCCTTCAATGGTATGTTGCAGCACATGAAATCAATTAAATATCATAGATTATCTTCAGTTCGTTTGGACCATCTACCTAACTACATTAATCTAAAGGTGTAGCATGGTCTATCTTCCTTTAGCATAACCTATATAAATACTCAATTACATGCCAATATAACCATTCCATAAATTCTTTCCCATTGTCACTATAGGAAATCAAGTGTAATAATTCTATCAATATGATTTCTAAGACAAGATAACAAATCAACACAAATATATATTCAAATGATAATCACATACATCAATTCAATGTAAAACACATCAATTTAATGTAATTACTTCTAATTTATGAATCTGAATATATACGATAAGAATCCCCAAATTGATATACAAATCAACACATGTTTACTTGGCCTAGGTTAAATCAACTCCCTAGAAAGGAAGTTAGCCTCTCATGGATATGGCAGCAACCTCCACGATTGAAGAAGAGAAGAAATTCCCTTCTTTCACCATTGTTGCAAAAATTAACTAAGAACTCTTAAGAAAATCCTCTTCCCCCAAAATCTCCTTTTCAAAAACTAAAACTAACTGACTTCATATAAGCATTTGCCCCTCCTTTACCCTTACATAAGTTTCAGAATAAAATAACTCGTTCAAAATTCGAATTTCCGCTCAAAATAGAATAAAATCGGACTTAATTAAAATGGGGGCCCGTAGTCTTACATCTGGACACGAAGAATGGCGTCCAGACGCGAGGTCCTGATGGTCATGCATCCGGACGCCAAATATCGTGTCCGAGCGCAAGGTACTGAAAGGTGGCGTCCGAACGCCAGTTCTTGCATCTGGACGCGAGGCATGCTATTTTGGCTTCTTCTTCTTTCTTTAGCTCTAATTGCATCCATCGCCTATTCAGGTCATTTCCCCTTAAAAACCACTTGATATGTAGGCCCGATATGACTTGTGCTCCAAAAACACTTAAAATCTTATTCTTATTCCATTTTTGCAATTAGACCTGCAAAAACATAAAAACATAAAAATGCAGCTAATCTATATACTCAGATCATATAATGGGCTTAACTAATGCAGTTAAGGGCGTTTAAATATGCACATATGCAATATTTGATGCTTATCAGTACAACCATATGAATTAAGCTCCATACAAAGAAAATAATTAAATAAAAGTCTCAAAACCTATTCAATTATTCTCAATTTAATATATATGATAGTACATGCCAAGCTCATCAACAATATCAAGTTAAAAATCCAATTATGTGAGTAAAACACTTAAAATAAAATTAATTAACCTACTTAATTAATTTTCTCTAGATATTAAAATAACTCCGAATATTCTCAAATTCACATATATTAAAGAACATACTAAGGCCTAATTTAATATCATATTACAAGTTGATTCCATGCTAGTTACAACCGTGTGAATTAAATTTTCATACAAGTGAAAGATTAAATAAAAGTTACAATACTTATTCAAATCCTCCTAATTTAATATATGTTAATAAGCATATCAAGGCCTAATTTAATAGCTTGTCACAATTTAATTTTAAACTATATACAACCATGAGAATTAAATCTTATACAAAGAAAATAATTAAATTAAATTCTAGATAAAATACCAAGACATGCATACAAGTTGTATAAGCTTATAAAATAATCAATACAACATTTATTTAAACCTAAAATATCCCCTACCTCATTTTGAGATGAAATCTCAAATCCCCACCGGAAGGAAATTGCTCTGAATCCGACGATACTTCTATGTTATGTCAGGGACTACAAAGGAAGCAACTTTAACCCTTGAGGCATCATGAAAATCTACCAAACTCAAAACCCGAACTCAAAAATGGTCAGAATCGGCTTCTAATAAGGGGGAAAGGAGCGCCTCGCCAAGGCCCACGATAAATGCTAAGGCACTACGGCAAAATTCAAGAGGGAGAAGGTTTATTTGAGAGAAGAAAGGTGGCAGCCCCGATTGGGCTACCATGGATGTTGTTGGATGTCCATGAAGAGAAGGGAAGACAACTTTTTAATTTTATAACCCCTTATTTATAGTAAAACCCTAAAAGGGCCCCGAAAGGGCCCTGCCGAGTCCGAAAAAGTGGAATCAGTGCAGATGCCCTCAAACGGTAAAATACCGTGAACAAAAAAGAACCGAAATGAGAAAAAATGAACAACGGAAGAAACGGCGTCAAAAATCAAGTCCCGTGCAGGAAGATATGTCCCGAACAAGTTCGGCACCAATCGGGGCTGAAAACCTTAAAACTAGGGAAAACTACCGGAAAGAAATTCTAAGAGTACACAACTCGATAAAAAGTGAAAATGAATCCTGTACAAGGATCCAGGCTCAAAACGAGGCATTTTGTAATAACTTTTGTTAATTGCACAATGGCCCCTACAAAAAGGGATAACCACAAAACTGGCCTATAATGAAAATATCTTCCAAAAGATATTTTCTTAAAAACCCCTAATCAAAATATCTCTAAAAGATATTTATGAAAAACACCCCAAGAAACATCAACATTTATGAGGAATCCTTTCATCCACGCTCCTACGGGAGAAAGAAACAACCGGTGAGTTTTTCTCCAAAAGTAAAGTTACGCATTTCGAGGAAATCAACTGGAATGAAAACTTATGAAGTCAAAACCCAACTCCATATATGGAAAGTGAGGTTGTGCCAACAAAGTGACAAACAGAAAAAAGACGAAAAGTGAATAGTGTCAATAAAAATAAAAATGTGGAAATGACTCGGTCCTTAAAGAAAGTTGCCAATCCAAAGGAAAAAGTCTCAGAAACCATTTTCGA